CATACCTGACCCGAACCGGGACATCGTTTGCCCGGGTTGACGGGCACGGAGAGCTTGAGGGCGTGTACGTGAACCTGGCCGCTCAGGGTGGACCAGATTCGTGTGCACTGCAGGAGGGTGCGCACGCTAACATGAGAGTGGGAATGGCGAGAGAGAGGAGGGAAAGAGGAGCCGCGCGGAGGAAACGAACGGCGTGCGAGATTGGGCAGGTGCAGGTCGCGCTAGCGGAACCAGGAGGGAGAGCGGGAACACAGCGGAAGCGGGCGATCACCAGCAAGGGCGAGCGGAGCTGTGGGTGACCACCGTTACGAACGGGCGAAGCAGCCGGGCGGAGCCATCACCGGAGCGTGCGCGCGGGGATTGTGCTGCGCGCGGGAAACAGGCCGCGCACGAGAAACGGGCCGCGCGCGCGCACGTTGGAGAGAGAGAGAGAGAGAGAGAGAGAGAGAGAGAGAGAGAGAGAGAGAGAGAGAGAGAAAGGATGAGAGAGGGAGTGCAGAGGAGGGGGTAGGAGAGTGTGCGAAACGGCTGTTTCAGAGCGCGAAAGTGCGCGCGTTTGGAAGCAAGGGGGACGTCCGCATTCGCACCTGCATGAGGTGCATGAATCTACCCTTCCCCTCGGCCCAGATCCGTGCGCTCCACTACAACGTGCGTGCGGCGCCAGAAAGTGAGCACAGGAAAGGATGAGAGAGAGAGTGAGTGGGAGGCGCAGTCCGCGGGCGCACCTGGACGCTACTGCGCACCAAGTCCACTCCCTTTTCGAGGCGCGGGAAGGAGGAGCTTCGCACGGGGGAAGATGCCGCGCAGGGCAACAGAGCGCGGGCGGAGAAGGAGAGAGCTTCTACGAGGGGCGGAGAGAGAATCACGCGGGAGAAAAAGACGAGCGGAGCAGCAGAACTGCTGCACGGGAGGAGAGAGCGGGCGGAGAGAGGTTCGCACGGGGGAAGATGCCGCGCAGGACAACAGAGCGCGGGCGGAGAAGGAGAGAGCTTCTGCGAGGGGCGTAGAGGAGCCGCGTGGGCGGAGAAGAGATTGTGCGGGAAGGGACGAACAGTAACACGAGAGAGAGAGAGAGAGGGGGAGAGAGAAGCCGCGCGGAGGAGCACATTTCGCGCGGGAAAAAGAGCTGCGCGGGAAAGAGCCGCCGTGTGGGGAAGGACGGGTTGTTCGGGAATCGAGCAGCGGAGAGTAGCGGGGACCGCTTGGGAAGAAGAAGTCGCCCGGGGGGAAGACTGCCACGCGGAGGAAGGCGCAGCGCACGGGCGTAAAGAGTCGCTGCGCGAATAGCAGATGAACCGCGCGCACCTCCCTTTTAAGCGCACGTACCCGGACGAAGTTCCGGTTATGTTCACGCGCAAAGGCATACCATGTTTAGGAAAGGAGTTGCGGTCAGATGCATCCGGGGCCTGGCGCAGCTGTAACGAGAGAGAGAGAGAGAGAGAGAGAGAGAGAGAGAGAGAGAGAGAGAGAGAGAGAGAGAGAGAGAGAGAGAGAGAGAGAGAGAGAGAGAAGTCGAAACTGGTGCGGACAAGGGAAATCCGGCTGATTGCGATGACCCCAACGGGTGCCGACGCTATGTGTTTTCTGCCAAGCGCTCTGAATGTCAGGCGCGGGTACATGGCGGGAGCATCTATGACTCTCTTAAGGTCGACAATGCCTCGTTATCTAATTAGTGACGCGCATGAATGGGCCAATGAGGTTTCCACTGTCCTATCGACCTTTCGGCAATAACACAGCTAAAGGAGGGGACTTGGGAGAATCGGCGGGAAAAGAAGCTCTATTGAGCTTAACTGCAGTTCGACTCGGCAAGGTGACTTGCGAGGKGTCAACGGATGTTGAGGCAATGTGATTTCTGCTCCGTGCTGGGAACGCCATGGTGAGGAGATTCGATTAAGGGCGGATGAACGAAGGACGTGCACGTACCAGCGCGCGAGCGTAGGGGCGCCAAGTCTCAGCCAGACTCGAAAGCTCACCTTACCGGCCCACCAGATCCGGACCTGAACAGACCCGGACCAGACCCGGACCAGAATAGATCAGTCCAGATCAGAACCGGATCAGACCTGGGCCAGGCCAGATCAGACCAAACCGGATCCGGACCAGCACAGACCCGGACCAGACCCGGACCAGAATAGATCAGTCCAGATCAGAACCGGATCAGAGCCGGGCCAGGCCAGATCAGACCAAACCAGATCTGGACCAGAACAGATCTGGACCAGACCCGGACCAGAATAGATCAGTCCAGATCAGAACCGGATCAGACCCGGGCCAGGCCAGATCAGACCAAACCAGACCGGCTACAGAACAGACCAGACCAGCCCTGATCGGACCCGGGCCAGGCCAGATCAGACCAGAGCATTTCAGACCAGACCGTGCCGCAGACCAGACTCGAGGGGACCAGAGCAGACCAGATGCGGCCAGATCAGGCCGGGCCAGACCAGAACAGACAAGATCAGACTAGATCATACATGACCAGATCAGGCGAGACTGCATCAGAATCAGACCGGACCACACCTGGCCAGACCAGATCGGATCAGATCCGACCCAGTTCAGACCGAACCAGTTGAGACCAGACTCAGATCAGACTCGGACCAGACCAGATGAGACCGGACCAGATGGGACCAGACCAGATGATCAGACTCAGATCAGACTCGGACCAGACCAGATGAGACCAGACCAGATGAGATCTGACTCAGATCAGACTCGGACCAGACCAGATGAGACCAGATCAGATGAGATCTGACTCAGATCAGACTCGGACCAGACCAGATGAGACCAGACCAGATGAGATGTGACTCAGATCAGACTCGGACCAGACCAGATGAGATCAGACTCAGATCAGACTCGGACCAGACCAGATGAGACCAGACCAAACCAGACTAGACTAGACTGCAGCAGACCAGACCAGATAAGACCTATCAGGCCAGTTCAGGCCAGATCAGACAGCATCACAACAGACCAGACCTGACCAGGCCGTATCAGACCGGCCGGACCATATCAGACAAGATCAGACCAAAATCGGACCAGATCAGACCATATCAGAGCGGGTCAGATCGGATCGGATCAGACCAGACCGGGCACAGGACAGACCAGACCGGTTCAGACTAGACCGGATCAGGCCGACCGGACCAGACCAGACCAGACCAGATTAAGATCCAGGACAGGTCCTAGTCGCGCACCCGGGTGAACCAAGATATCGCCTCCCCGACAAGTGTCGAGCCTATTTGCCGTATCAAGCCTGTTTCATGACGGGGCCGGGTTCCGTTGGGACTCAGACAGATTTTACAGACTCGTACTATGGACGAGACCCAGGGCCTCGTCGCAGTGCGAACTATCATACTCTTCTGAATTAAATCAAAACACTCATTTCGATCATTTCCACGATCTGTTCCATCGTCAGCAGTTTCCTACCTTATATTGTGGTGCTAGCGTTTTTTTTGGTGATACTGACGAGGTTGATTTCTTGCAGGTTATAGGAGCCCCGATCGACCCTCCCGTGGGTGACAAACACGGCGCGAGGTATAGGGTTCGATCGGCGTGCCGGCAGATCCCTTCTACCCGTCGACAACGGCCATAAATGACCCGTGCATGCCATCTGCCTTATGACCAGAAGTGGTCCGCCCTCTCTACCAAATTGCACCCATGCCCCCGAAAAACTCTGCCACAGGAGATCTCAGTTCTGACCTGGGACTCCACCCCCATCTTCCCAAAAATCCTTGGCACACCCCTTTTCGCACTTCCAGGCCCACACCCCACTCCGATCAGGAAGTCGCGCTGGGCGTGAGGTTGGGCGTCACAAACATACAATACAAAATGAAAACGAATACGACATTCTCTTCTAATCTAATTCAATTAGATTAGAGATGTTGTACAAGCACTCCGTTGCTTGCCTCTCTACTTGTGAAGCAGCCCACGACCTCTTACGGGCCCATCAACAAAACGAGACCATACAAGACAACATGAAAACGAATATGATTCAATTAGAGTATGCGGTCGACCGACATTCTATTCTAATATAGTTGAATTAGATTAGAGACGTTGTACATGCGCTTCGTTGCTTCAAGTTGCCTCTCTACTTGTGAAGCAGCCCAATACCCCTTACGGACCCATCAACAAAATGAGAACATACAATATAAGATGAAAACGAATATGATTCAATTAGAGTATTCAGTCGACAAACATTCTATTCTAATCTAATTGAATTAGATTGGAGACGTTGTACATGCGCTTCGTTGCTTGCCTCTCTACTTGTGAAGCAGCCCGCGACGTCTTACGGGCCCATCAACAATACGAGAACATACAATACAAAATGAAAAACGAATGGTTATTCAAGTCTTGATGATTCAATTCCAAAGCCGGAAGTCATGCTCTTGGTGACATGGGGCAACTATACTAGGTCATTGCAAGTTTTGTACCAAAGCCGCTTTCTTTGGAAGGTGCCCACAACCTCCTAGTCCCAGCTACAAGTCAAGACTTTCCTGGTATGGAAAAAGCAGTCTTTAGAGGCTTGGGTAGGGGCGGTCACACTTGGTGTCTTTTTTTTCTCTCTCTTTTTTTTTTTTAACTAGCTCGACACCTCGTGTGTGCATGTGTATCCAGTTGTTTGTTGATTTGCTTTTTTTTTTGAAGTTGTTTGTTGATTGTTAAGACGATATTGATGATTATAATCCTAATTGTTTGACTGAGATCATTCGACGAAAAGAAAATGCAAGGAGCTTAGGAAAACACGCTTTGATGTGGATGCTTCTCGTTTCTCCTTTTCGCAAGGTGACTTTTGCAGATGTGATCCTTTTTGGAAAGTTGCTTTGCGTGCGACAGGAGAACCATCTGTCGAGGAAGATCAGAACAGGAAATAGTGAAACATATTTGAAAAGATTTGAACAGATTTTGACAACATGAAACATATCTGGAGAATCGTGGAGATTGAAACAGAGGTCTGATGTGCGATGTGTGGATTGTCATTAATACTCATTATGTTTGCTCGTGTCTCATGTGTGCAACAGGACACGTATTTGAAGATCGAATCTGTCTTGCAGAAATTGGGTGCATTTTATGCGAAGAAGGGTCCAAGAGCGGTTCTACCAGAGGACTTGACATCGGAACTCTTGAAAACCTTGGAGGAAGTAGACGCCGAGCTGTAGACCTGTTAAAGAAAAAAGAGGAGGATATTTCAGGAAAAGCAAATGTTGAATTTGTTGTGCTGCTGCACACCAGGTTCAAGGAGGATGTTGTTGTGCGATAGCTAAGGCGAATTGAATCTTTGTGTGTGTCCTTGATTGCAAAACTCATGTTAGCAACATCATTATTTTTTATATCAATTTTTAACTTTTATTTTTAAGGAGATGAGGATTTTTATTCACGAGTTCTTTCTATGCAGAATTGCCCCATCGGGTCTCGCTCCACTACTCAACAAATGTGCAAAAGTTGAAGGAATCTTCCGCTAGAACATGAGAAGATGCACCGCCATGTTTTTTGTCTGTTGTGCATGTGGAGAGTAGTGGAGCGAGGCCCATTGTGATGTACAAAATATCCATCTCAAAGAGGCCTCAATCTGATACTGAACTAATCATTGCAACACAAGTCGCACGAGATTGTTGATAAAATCACCACTACCTCCAAGCCTCTTTTTGCCGAGGCGGATTAGAACTGCACGAGCCTCCAAACTTTTTGGAAATGAGCCGGTTTCGATTCTCCAATTTGCCTGGGCCATGTACTGGTGGCTTAAGAATCCAGGGATTGTGTCCTTGCCACGAATAAATAGGCCCTAGAAATCGGCATCGGTCAAGCAGATTTCTTTGTCATGACATCTCTCAAATCAATGCGAATAATGGCAAAAAGTTCAAACTCAGAGCAAGCTCAAAGCGCATAATGGACTTATCAGTGATTGGGTTGTCTGGCATGCTGATGCTAAGGCTTCTCCAACTAGGGCCTCTCCCGGGATCTCCTATTCACCGCTGGATACAACCAGGAAAGCTGTAGTGTGACAATCCCTATCGTGTGTGTGCAGCCGGCGGACGGCGAGGCGGCGGTCTGAGAATACTTCGGTTCAATTCAATGACCTATAATACACGATTCATAATTTATTAATTTCATATGCTTCAGCCTGTGACATACTCTGAACCACGCCCCATTGTGAAGACCAGCCGACGACCATTTTCCCAGCACAGCCCTCAATGAGAGTACCTTTCTGAGACATAGTTTCACCCAGGGTATGGAATTACTAGGAATCGCGAGGAATCGATCGAGTACCAAAGAGGCATTCCAATGCTTCCCAGCCTAGGGCACCATGGAGAATATGGCCCATGGTGAACCCATCAGGCATACTTAATAAAGGCTATGTATAATTGGGCACAATGCAGGGTAGAAAAACAACAAACAAAGACACAAAAGTTAATGTCTCGCGGACTCGTTGAAAAGTTGGACCCTCAACAGCATGCAGAATCCCCATATTGGTGTTTTTCAGTCATGATCTCCTTTAACCCTGTTGTAAGTGGACTGCCAACGAATGACATCAAATGCAGCAAGGCAAGGATGAGGCACCAAAATGGACTGGATGTCAAGCAACAGCAAAGCATGTAGGCTGGAGGGCATGGGGGAGAGAGGTGGACAGCCAAACGACAAGGCAAGCAGCAGGGCAGCATGATGAGCAGCAGGCAATAAGGCAGCAAAGCGGCAAAGCAGCGAGACAACAAGGTAACGAGGCACGGGGAGGAGCAAAGTGGATGGCAGTGAGGCAGCAAGGCAACACACAGGGCAAGCAAGTGGGCAGCCAAGCAGTGCGGCAACACCAACAAGGCAAACAACACAAGGCAGGCGGAACGGCAGTCAGGGAGCATGACACCAAGGCAGCACCTGCAAGGCAGTCCACTCGTACAGCACGGACTAAAGCAGGACTCCATGGACTGTGCATTCACACCACAGTCGGAGCACCAGGAAATCACGAATGCAACACACAGACACCAGCATCCCAGACAGAGAAGCCCCCCTAATAGTGTTGCAGAGAATCCAGACAAACAGACATTGACTATCTGGCACATGTTCAAGTTTGTCACTTAGACACAGAGGAGAACCACAGGAAAAGACGCGAGAGTGCAGAAGGTGGACAACAGAAAGAAAGTACTTAGAATAAGGAGAAGAAAAGAAGACGAGTTATATATAACTAGGACTTTGTGTGTGTGTGTGTGTGTGTGTGTGTGTGTGTGTGTGTGTGTGTGTGTGTGTGTGTGTGGTAACCCATAGCGTTACATGCTTAGACCCCACGGCAAGCCATGGTATGACCGTTCAAACCATAGGCTGATACATGCACCCGGACTTGCGTTCTTTATCCTGGGGACTAGCCCTAGAAGCAACTTGGTGATGTACTATCGACCTAGGATAACAGGACCATTCCCAAAGTATAACAAAGGAAAAGACCACCAAGATGGAAAACACGGTAAAGAACCAGACAAAGCAGCAAGGCATAGGATGTCAAACAACAGGAAAGGACAAATGCTGGAGGGCAATGGGGAGGCGGGAGGGCAGACGACACACAAGTATACCAAGGAGACAAACACGCACAGGAAAGACGAGAGACGATGAGACATAGGTTGACAAACAGCGGCAAGGGACAAAGGCTGGAGGGCATGGGGGAGGCGGGAGGGCAGACGATACAGAAGGTACTAAGGGAACGACATGAGGCGACAAGACATAGGATGACGAACTGCAGCAAGGGACAAAGGCTGGAGGGCACGGGGGAGGCGGGAGGGAAGCCGACACATGAGTATACCAAGCAGACAACACACAAGTATACCAAGCGGACAGCACACAAGCACACCAAGCAGAAGATACACAAGCACAACAAACAGACCAAGCAGATGACACACAAGCCTGACAAACAAACGACACTCAAACACACCAGACAGACCAAGCAGACGATGCAGAAGCACACCAAACAGACAAGCTAAAAAAACACTAGTCCCGAAAATTTTCAAGGACTGAAAAAAACAAACTGATGATAGATTGTTTCATCGGAGTTGCACCGACTCATCAGGAGGCTGAACCTCGACAATCTGCAGAATGCCCATATTGATAGTTTGGGTCATGGACCGTTTGACCCATGATGAAGGCGGACTGTCCCCGAGCAGAACATAGCAGCGGCTAGCAGCTCAGTGAAGCATCAGGCAACGCTGCTGAGGCAACGCGACTGCACAACGCCGAAAACAACTGCAAGGAACAACTGGGCAAGCGGACGAGCAGCACGGCAACAGTGCAGCGAAGCACAAGGCCACACAACAGCCACACCACACAGCACGCGAGCAAGGAACGCGGAAGAAAAGGCATGCGGATGGGCAGCAAGGCAACAGTGTAGCGACGCACAGGGCGACACCAACACCACAGCCACACCACACAGTGAACATAGCAGCTTGCAATGCCATGCCAGCGGGACAGGCAGCAAGGCAGCAGAGCAGCGCAGACAAGGCAGTCTACACATCCAACATGGAGCAAAGCGGCACATCACCTACTCACATCATCGGTGAACCTCGCAGGCTGTTGGTTCCCACCACCTCCTGAGCCAGGAAGGTACTCCAACGGACGTCTATCATCCACACATAGACCTCATGCACCACAGACATCACAGACAGAGCGCCCCCCTAAGAGTCCTGCAGGCACTCCAAACTGCCAACCACTGACTATTCAGCATTTCTTAAAGGTGCTCTCGCAAACACACACGAAGTACTTGGACACAATCAAGGAGGAGGAAATAAACAAATACATATATAGGAATGAGTGTGTGTGTGTGTGTGTGTGTGTGTGTGTGATGGGAATAAATCCACTGCGATTTGCATGGCCGCAAGCTGTGTTCATAATGAACGCGAAAACAATCATGCCACGTAATGGACAACCAGGCTTCGATTGACATTCATGACAACCCACGTGAAAGCAACAGGACCAATGCCATCATCCTATTTCATTCACCCCTCTCATATTCGATAGTTCACATGTGCAAGAGAACACTAATCAGTGACGGAAAAGACTGACGAACCAGGAGGGAGAGAGAGAGAGAGAGAGAGAGAGAGAGAGAGAGAGAGAGAGAGAGAGAGAGAGAGAGAGAGAGAGAGAGAGAGAGAGANGAGGAAGTAGACAACGAAGGAGAGAGGGTGACGAACTGGACGCCGAAGGGGGGGAGGGGGAAGGGAGGGAAAATATAAGGCAGGCAAGGAACAAGAGAGGGTTATGAACAGCAGGAGCATCCGTTTGAAGAGGAGGGGAACACACGGGAAGAGATAGGGGCGATGCACTGGACTCGGAAGATTCCAAAGTGACCACGAATGATCGAATGACGAAATGAACTTCAATACAAACGAGGAACAAATGGAGCTCTCACATTCCTGCACAGTGGCCCAAATGCCATAGCATGCACCTTACACCGCATGCACCCGCCACAAATAGGCATACTCACAAGGGGTTGTTATGTCTTTTAGAAGGGGGGAGTATCCCTTTGCTTTTCCTTTCCTTGTTGTTATGGCGTGTTCTAAGGGGGGGCAGTGCGCCCTAACCTTATTGTACCCATCTGATTCTATCGGTATTTGAACCCATGACCTGTTTGTGAACAGTGACATGTGTGTACCCTTCAGCAACATGGGCAAGGTAGGGGGTTTTCTGGTCTTACCAGAAACCAATCAGATTCCAATCTGAAAACCATTCACCACAAAATATTGTATCACTCTTTATGTCACAACAATTCGTTGGTGCACCACTATGTTCATACATTTCCAAAGCCTGTAAGTCAAGGATTTTGAAACCACCAGCACTTCCTAAGCTCTTTTCTACGGGGCTGCAAATGGCCTGCGCACCCCAAAAAGACGAATTGGTGTGGGCCTCCTTTTGCCTGGCGGCGCCAGCCATTTTGCTCTGGAGGCCAAGCCGCGAAAGTTGCGGCTGTATGCATGCTGCGTAATTGAGTTCATAGCGGGGAAACGTACTGGGGGTTTGGAGATTTTCATACCATAACATTTTTACGGCCACGCCAAGTGTTGCTCCCATCATGATCGACTTCATGACATTTGGCGGGATCACGCAATCCCAAAATGAGCTGTGATGAAAGCAAATGTGAAAGTGAAAGGCCACCTTAGCAATAACAGGATAGAACAATCACGGCAGCAATTAAGCTTCACGGGAGCCCCAAAACGTAGGCCCCTGACGTAATCGCCCCAGCTCTCCTTGAAACCAGGTGAAAACCTTTGTGCTCTTTTCAGAATCCGCCAGTCTTGGCAATGCGGACTTCAAGTTGACCAAGTGTCAGTCACACCTGTCAACCTGTGGCCTGATCTAAGTTCATCTAACTAACCAGGTCAAACTATGAAATATTGGCTTTGTCACTCTTGTATTTGAGCATGGTCTCACTTGTGTTCTTGCACAATGCCAGGGCAGTTTAGGCATCTATTCTTTCCACACACCAAGGTGTCAGATGATTACCTGCCAGTGCTCAGGTTTGAAATTGCAAAAACTAGCTGGGTTGGAATGGGGGCGTGCAGAGGCCCGACTCGGAGTTCGTGATACATGCAGACGCATTTCGATTTGGATAATTTTGTTCTTTCAGACATATAGGGGTCGTTTCTTTCTTCTACCGTTAACCCCCCAGTACTTGGCCCAGCTATTGGACACCGAAAAAAAATAGAGTAGAAACATTTCTAGTTGGATGAATTTGGGCGCTCCTGATGTGGCCTGTACGTTTCCTAAAAATTGTGGCTTGGGCACAACTTCAGGAAGTACTGGTGGTTTAAACCAGCAGTACATGGCCCAGGCAAACTTTAGAACCAAAATAAGTTCATTCTAAAAAGTTTGGATGCTAGGGGCTACGGCTAATTTCCAACCGAACTTCGGTCAAGCATCCTGAGCGCCTAACGCACATGCACCAGTAGTCAGAGGTTTTTTTCGTGTCCACATCACAGGCTGATGTGGAGCCACGTTAGTGCCAACCAGGTGAGGGGTAGGGGGCAGGTGCATGTCTGCCCGGTATCTTTCGTTGTCTGGTGCCCGCGATAATCTCCATTGCCAACGTGTATTCTTACACAGCAGAAGGCCAGGGGAATGTTGACTCGACTCAACATCCATGGAGTAGGCGGAGTGCGCCCCTGATATGGTAAAATGTGGATTATTATGGCGTGATGAAGATCGCATTCATTTTCAAATATTAAGCAGCTGTTGTCATGTTTGACATGGATGGAGGCGACATATCTTTTTTCGAAGCGAGCAAGCAAGTAGAGAGGAATCTGACGTGGCAGGCTGCTTAGCGATTCTCGATCGTTCGTCAGCGGCTTGTCATTAAAATTGAGGGAGAAATCAGTGGGGTAATGGACTGAAAGAGGAAGGTGACATCGCGATTCTTCAGAAAAAGGTGGTATAGTGATTCTTCAGGCAAGGTGGGAGTAGGGTGGTAAGGAGATTCTCGCATGGATGTCATTCACGAAGTCGCAGTGTAGTCAGCATTGAGTTGTAGTGTTCAGGGTAGAGAGGAGGTACAGAGCTGCTGCATTGCGCCAGTGATATGGGCCAAGTACATTCTCAATCTCAATGTTGATGTCACACAAATTTCAAATTCGGAATTGATTACACACCTACTCAAAGTGTCGATATCATATACTAATTTTAAACTTTGGCCCCTCCCACTCCGTCTTCCGATCTCCTCCTCCCCCTTACGCAACCTCCGCACGACCTCCTCCTCTCCCTTGTGCGACCTCTTCCTACCCCTCGTGCGACCCCCTCCTCCCCCCGTGCGACTTCCTCTCTCTCTTCCGACCCTCCTTCCCTCGCGCGACCTCCTAATCCTTGTGCGACCTCCTCCTCCCCCTCATGCGTCCTCTTCCCCCTCCTCATCCACCTCGCACGACCTCCTCCCACCTCTATTCCGACCTCCTGCCCCTTGTGCGACGTCCGCTTCCCCTCGCACGACCTCCTCCTTGTGCGACCTCCTCCTCCCCCTCGCGCCACCTCCTCCAATCTGTCTTCCTACCTCCTCGGAGTCCCCCTTGTGCGATCTCGTCCTTCCCCTCTTCTGACCTCCTCGTCCCGCTTGCACAACCTCCTCCTCCCCCTCCCGCTCCTCCTCCGCCAAACAACGTGACAAAGATCCGGCCATAGCCCCGCTCCCGCTCGTTCTCCTGCTGCTCCCGCTCGTTCTCCTGCTGCTCCCGCCTCTCCTCCTCCCTCTCCTTCTCCCGCTCTCCCTCCTGCTGCTTCTCCTTCTCCCGCTGCTTCGCCTGCTCTTTCCCCTGTTCCTCCTGTTCCTCCTGCTCCTCGCGCTCGTCCTCGTGCTCCGCCCGCTTCCCCTGGACCACCTATATCTCCTCCCCCTCCTCGGCCTCCCGAAGGTTCGTTAACCCCCTCCCAGTTTCCCCTTCCACTCCTTCTCCCGCTCCTTCTACCGCCCCTCCTGCCGCGCCTCCTCCGCCCCTTCCCGTTTTTCCTCGTACTCCTTCTCCCGCTCCTAACCCCCTCCCCGTTTCCCCTGCCGCTCCTCCTTCTCCAGCTCCTCCTCCCGCAGCTCCTCCGCCCCGTCGCATTTCCCGTCCCGCTCCTTCTCCCGCACCTGCTCCCGTTCCTCCCACTCCTTTTCCCGCTTCTTTTCCCATCCCTCCTCCCGCTCCTCCCGCTCCTCCTGCTCCTCGTCTCGCACCTCCTCCCGCTCCTCCTCCGCCAAACAACGGGACAAAGATCCCGCCATAGCCATCTCCTATGAAAAAAACAAAAGAAAAATGGACCCCCACGTGGCTAGCCGAGAGGCCGAGAGGCCGAGAGAGAGAGAGAGAGAGAGAGAGAGAGAGAGAGAGAAAGAAGGAGTTTTCCATCGATAGAATGAGCAACGCACCGGCCAACAGGCAGTTCGCATTTGCTCATCCTATCGATGCAAATAGTGTGAGGCCAGGCGCGGGGTTGGAGACTTACCTGCTCGCCGGTGCGTCTCTCTCTCTCTCTCTCTCTCTCTCTCTCACACACACACACACACACACACACACACACACACCACCGCGCTTTCGCGGTCACACACGGCAGCACTCGGTAGCGGACTGCACTTTCGCGATCGCACACGGGCACCGCACCGCATTTCCGCACTCACACAGCGCTTTCGCACTCGCACACGCCGCCGCGAAACGGCGCACCCTTATTAACGGCGCACCATTATTCGCCTTGCCCCAGGCCTCCTCTGCGGTACCGCCGCGAAACGCCGCGCCCTTATCCCCTTGCCCCGGGCCTCCACGAAACGCCGTGTCCGCTTTCCTTGCCCAATTCCCGCGCCCCTCCACACCGATTTTCGCTGGGCCCGGTGGGACGCGTCATGCTGGGCCCTTTGCTTGCTTCAGGAGTATAGAGAAGAGGGAGACGCTGAGTGATTGGTTATCCCAACGGGGGAGGAAGAACTGATCGAACTGATCGAACTGATCGACGTGGATGACTGCGGAGCTGTATTCTCTTGCTCTCGAGAATTCTTTCGTATGTTACTCCTTTCTTCTTCTGTCAGAATTTCCTCCAACGACTGTACTCCCCTGAGGATCAGGGGCACAAACCCCGCTCATTTCCTCAGGCTGACTGTGCTGATGATTCAGAGACCCCACAATCATGCTACAGCTATCCTCCTTGTGCTGCTGTGATTGCATGCTTTCCTTTCCTTTAGAACTGCTTCCCACCACTGTTATTTGCTCTTTTCCTTTTTCAAGGTTCAAACCCCCTAGTGGAGATGACTTTGTTGTCCCTCCTGGGAAGCCCCCTGTCTCTTTTCCCCACCACCCATTCCCCTACGCTGGATATCCTGACCCAGTCCCGGACGTGAGTACGGAGCTGCTCCCAGATTTCAGAAAAGAGCATGCCGCATCGCTCCTTGATTGATAGAACAGGAACGATTCTGGGCCCTTCGCCCTTTTTTACGTTTAGCTTCATTTTGAAAATTCTTCTCTGTTACTAGAGTAGAGCTTGTCTTGTTATTATATATACGATATATCTATATATATTAAATGGGGCAAGTACGTTTGTGTCACAAACGAAGTTCCAAAGGGCAAAAAAAACAATAATGGGCAACAAAAAAATGGCCGTAGTTCGAAAAGGCAGTCATAACATCAGAAGGCGGTAACATCAGGCCCCGAGTTTGAAAAGGGCGGTTGTAGCACACTTTCCTTTTTTTTTTTTT